TATATATATATATATATAATTTAATTTTTTTTTCATATACTGTTGGAAAAAAACAGTCCTTCAACTACCATGAAATAAGTTTGCACCGATTCAATATAGTTATTCTTGTCTTTTACCTAATTAAACTAATCGCTGATTGTCAGTAAACGTATCAAGACAACAGAAATCCATTTAGTATAAAGTGATTGTTAATTTCATGCTAGCATGAAAATTAACACAAGCTGTTTTAAACTTTTATCTTGATTGGGACAATTAAAAAAATTAACCATTTTCAGTGGCCTCTTCCAAGTGACTCAAATACCATCAAGGTGATGATCATGGATGGGTCACAGCACTGCAAACCAATACAGGAAAAGAGGAAGCAAAAGAAAAAAGAAAAAGCCCATGGGATGATATAAGGAAGGAAGATTCTTGTTTCAGTAAAAAAGAAAAAAAAGCACAAAAAAGCACAGAAAAGTTAAAAGACACCATGAATAACTGGCAACTTGAATCTTCCTCGTATTTTGGAATACTGCTAAGTGCTGTTAAGTACCAACTAATCAGGATTTTTTATTAGAATCCCAAGTTCACAAAATATAAAATACCAGTGGAAGAAACTTTAAACAATACATAAAGATAACAACTGGACCGGCCATATTAATTAAGCAAAGATTTTGTTTAGAAAGAAATAAAAAAAAAAAAAGAAAGAAAGAAAAGAAAACCCTTCTATCTTCTTAACTGTGGTAGGGTGTCATTTCATCTTTGGTATAAAGTAGGCCATCCATATTTGATCACAACTAGGAAAGACTACAGAAATTGTCAACAATTTCTTCTAGCTATTGCTTTTTTGCAGTTTTTTGACCATAAGCTCCTATCTAAGATTTCCCCCCAATACTTTTAAGCTAGGTGTTTGCAATGTGACAAGCAAAGCTTACTAAAAACTTTTTAAAGCTCATAAAAAAAAGACTGCAGATACAGAGCTCTAATGCTTGGCCAACAATCACATTTTGTAAATTAAAAAAAAATCTGAATCCTCCTCACCAATTCTTTAAAATGCAAGTTGACCTTCCTTTTCAATAATGTTATTGTAAAATACTTTAGCCTTTTATATTCTTCTCTGTCAACACTAAGAAAGTTTATAAAAGTCTTCGCATTGATCTTTTTTTCAATTCTTGAAGTTGCCACAGTTTTTCCTTAATCAATAGTTTTTGTTTAACATTTTCTGTTAAGCTATACAATTTTTATGTTTTTGCTATTTGTTTGTGTGTTTGTTAACCCTAAAAATTCAGTCTGTTGAACTTCAGCACCAGTTGATCCAGGTGTACATACATTGGAATCCATTTGCTTTTCTTCTACCAAAACGTTGATGGCTCACCTTGAAAGCCTTTGACATCCTTAAATTTAAGGCAATTAAGATTCAATATAAATCTTCCCTAAACATTTCTTTTTTAAAAAAATCACACACATATGCAAACAAATTCAAAAGGAAAGACACACTTGATTTCAACAATGGAGAAAGAATTAGCTGGATTCTTGAGGAAGACCACTAGTTTTCATCTCAGCTTTCTCCCTCTTATTATCATCATTCTTGGTTTTTTTTTTTCGGAAAACAAAATAAAACAAAATAAAGCAAACAAAACAAAAAAACAAAACAAACAAAAACTATAAATGTACAGTTCCAAGTAAATTCTGAATTTCAAATGTTCATTCAGATAAAATATTAACATAGTCTTTTGCCATGTTTTCCCCTTTAATTAAAAAAATTAGCAAAAATAAAACTTTTAGACTATATGACCAAACAATTGCACAGCACACAGAAACACTCTTGCTGGATAAAGTAGGAAAAAAGGTCACCGCCTGTGCAAATGGGAAGCCATCTTCTTGTTCAATGAAGTTTTTTTCATTCAAGGCAAGCTTTGCTGACTGACATTTTTCAGGTCTGTTCATTGTCTGTGAAAAGAATGAACTAAAACATTCATTTAAGTAAAAATATCTGTCTTTTAAAAATATTATTTCTTTTAAATTCTGTTGAAGCTAAATTTCCTTAGCCTAGAGAGAATGAATTATAAGCATAAATTCAATTATTTGTAATTTTTTTTAAAAATTAGTTTGAAGGTCACTTAATGAAGAACATGGCATTTCTCATGGAATTTTTGGGATTTCAATAATTTCTTTGAAATATTGCAAGAATGTAGCATATCATGGGGTAGCATAATTTGAAAGAATATTTAGGATGACATGAACATCATTGTTGGCAGTTGCCAACATAATTCCAAAACATCCTGACAAATTAATTGCAAGGAACTGGTAGGAACCCATGAATGCCCATCTCCTAATGTTGTTCATTCCCTGAACAACAAATGTATTTGTCTCTTGTACCTCTAAATAAGTTAAACTTACTGAAATTTTGCTTTGGCAATATATACAGCTCTGAATTCTACTCAAGAATATTTTTAAAAATCTTAAAGTCTACCTGGATTACTTGAAGGAGCTCTTGAGCCATGTCATGATAAAAGTAGATTGCTAATGTCGAATGGCTATACTATAATATTTATTTGGGAATACATTGTGAAAGAACTGCTGCTAAAATTTTAAAAATGCCTAGGAATTCCAAATATTAATATTTCTGTAATTCAGTCAATTCCTTTGAACCCTAAATGGCAGTACCAAGTCAATGTTGGCTGATCTCAGAAAGCTAAGCAAGCTTTGACTAGTACATGGATAGGAGAAGACTGGAAAACTGCAATGCTTTAAACTAGACTTGGAAATTGGAAAAAAAATATCCCAAAAGACAATGGCAAAACACTTTTATACTGGTGTAAAGTAAACTATGTGGAAAAGTTCATGAAGTAACCAGGATGGAGCTCAAATCAAGGGAGACTTTACCTTATTCATATCAGTGAGGTAACAGACTTCCCTTCCTCCAAGGAAACTTCCTGTTTTTGCATGAGGACTGTTTTGGTTTTATATTTTTCCAAGGAGAGACCATTCTTAGATCAGTGGTTCACATAGATATAAAGAGGTGGATACTTTGGAAGCTGGTTTCTATTGGATATAAAATTAAACACACCTCTGATTTTGATTTGAAAGAAAAGCAGGCTGCATATTTGACCCAAAAGTTTTCAAACTTTTTTTGAAAGGATTTGTAAATGATTTTTGCCTGCCCCATGATAGAAACAAAACTGTATGTATGTTTCTTCATACATCTACAGCCATTCTGTCATTACATTTAGCATGTATACTGAAGTAATAAGCATGTATTACTGAAGATTAAGGGTTCAACACTTCTATCATGTCTTTATCACTCAGTTTTAGAAGGCTACATCAGTTCCCTTAGCTCAATCTGCACTGTTACTTTCAAGAAAGTCCCACCTAATTAGATGGCCTTAATATGTGAACAGGATTATAATTCTTTATATAAATTGAAATAGCAGCCACCCACTTTTTAATGTTGCTTGATGACAATCTTGAATTGTTTATCTGTGTATCTATAGACAGCAAAATATTATGTAACATAAAATAGAAAAATGATTGATATTTAGCCTATCATTCACATCTATTCATCAGTTTCAAAATGGTTATGTGGATATTGACACTGTTAATGAATCTGGAATTGTGTTTAAGAAAAAAACCTAATTTTAGTGGAATTAAAATATCTTACTTTGACTGTTGGTATGAATATGCAGATGCATGTTCACTGGATGTTTCGACAGCTATCTGTTGCTGTTGACCATTGGATTCCTGTGATGAAGATGCTACTGTCTGTGGAGAGGTATCAGCAACTACACCCTGAAGAACATAGAACAAGGTGTCAAACTTGTGACCCATGGGCCAGATGTGTCATGTGTTGGCCTTCCCCCGCACAGTTTAGCAAAGGAAAATAAAGTCCTGATATGGGCAGTGGTGGGATTCAAAAAATTTAACAACCAGTTCTCTGCCCTAACGACTGGGTGGGTGTGGCTGGGTTGTCATGTGACTGGGTGACATGGCTAACTTGATTGGTCTCCACCTTAGGAAATTTCTCCTTAATCTAACTCACAATAAAATAGCACTGTTCTGATATTTAGAATAGAATAAAATAGAATAACAGAGCTGGAAAGAAATGGGAAGTCTTCTAGTCCAACTCCTTGCTTGGGCAGGAAATCCTACACCACTTCAGACAAATGGTTATCCAATCTCTTCTTTAAAATTTCCAGTGTTGGAGTATTTACATCTTCTGGAGGCAAGTTGTTCCACTGATTAATTGTTCTGTCAGGAAATTTGAGGGGCTCATACAAAAATGAGGGAGTCAATCTAATGGTGCATCAAAGCACCAAAAGGCACAACAAGAAACAATGGATGGAAAGTAACTAAAGAGAGAAGCAACATAGAATTAAGGAAAAATTTCCTAAGGGTGAGACCAATCAACCAAGTTGTGGGTGCTCCATCACTAGAGGCTTTCAAAAAGAGTGAGGAAAGTACACCCCAAAGGACAGTGCCAGGAACCACTAAAACAGTGCAGACTCAAGAGACATTCCCCTTAAAAAAAAAGTCAACCCCAAAGCAAACACAGCAGCTGAGAGGGAAACTAAGAGCAGCTGCTCATGCTAATTGAAAGCCTGGGCATGCTGCCAAAAGCCATTAACCCTTCCAACTCTATTATTCTATGTTCTCTATGTTCTAAATTGGATGCTTCACAGCAGAAGCAATATAGCTGACTGGACCACACATGCATTAAATTCACAGCCTGTATGATCAAGTTGCATCATTGTCCCTTCCTGTATCTTTTCCCCCAGGAAGAAACAAGAAGTAGCCAACACTGCAGCAGCTATAAAAGATCTTGGAGAACTCCAGGGAGTATCAGCTGATCAGAGAACTATTACTTAATACTCTTTATAATGATAATGTTTGTAATCTTGTCCTTCTTCCTGAAGGGAAGGGCTTAATCCCATCCCTAGATGACTAATTGATGGGTTTCCCTGCCCTAATCCTGTCAATTTCTGTTTATTGACTTGATTTAGCATGTATCAGCTGCATTTCAGCTGCAACTATTAAGTGGTTCTTCCCTGTCTTCCCGGAGCTATTGACTGAAGGGAGAGAGAGAGAGAGAAATATCTCCTGCATTTTATTTTTAACCAGTTCTCCGAACTGCACAAGCAATTAACTAATGGTTCGGGCAAACCAGTGAGAACCGGCTGAATCCCACCTGTGGATATGTCACGTGACACTGCCATGATGATGTGAGTTTGACACCCCTGACACAGAGCATCTTATAATTTTAACTACAAACAGTAATTGTAGAATACAATAGCCAGCACCTAACTAACTTCATTATTTAAGGGCAGTGGTACCATTTTTTAATTTGTCAATCTCAGATATAACAGGAGTCATGGGTTGCTAAACTGTTTATTTAATCAAATGTATTGCCTTGGTTACAGTCACAACTCTATTATTAGGACATCAATGTTATAAAGTTTCAAAGAAAAACATACTATGGTGCACTTTGCACCAGCTGCTAGAATAGTTTATATTTATAATGAAACCCTGATAATACTCTAGACTGCTATCATTTAACAAGACAGTCTCATTTGGATCTCATCAAAAGAAAATTAATTTATTTGTTCTTTCAGTATTACTGAGTTTGTAATTCCTTGATTGGGGTAATGTTTAGGGCTTGGTTATTTGTATAATATACCACGATGACACTATTAAAGCCAACCACTTTAACACATTCTTTGGCTCAGTATTTGTAAACAGCAATGGATCATGCCCAGTATTTCCTAGTCGAACCACAGACAACTACAATTATCTAATACATATCAATTTTACAGAAGACAATGTTGAAAAAGCACTATGCAATCTAAAACCATCTCTATCTATTGGACCGGACAGGATATGTGCCTACTTCTTAAAAAAGCTATCCACTGCCATAGCCAAACCTCTAAGCATAATCTTTGAAAAATCTTTCAGGACCAGCTCCTTGCCAAACCTATGGTCACAAGCCATGGTCATCCCCAACTTCAAAAAGGGAGACCCCAGCCTAGTTGAAAATTACAGACCAATCTCTTTATGCTGCGTCACCTGTAAAGTCTTGGAATCAATTATTAACCAATCCATCATCCTCCACTTAGAAAGAAACAACCTACTCTCTAATAAACAATTTGGTTTCAGGAAAAAAAACTATCATGTAATCTGCAACTCTTACACTGCAAAAACATATGGACTACACAACTCGATCAGGGCAAAGCAATAGACGCAATCTACATAGACTTCTGTAAAGCCCTTGATTCAGTGGTACATGACAAACTACTCCTAAAACTAAAATCATATAGTATCTCTGGACACCTGCATAATTGGATAGAAGCATTCCTGTAAAACAGACAACAAATGGTCAAAATTGGGAGCATCCTATCAAATTCTGTACCTATCAACAGTGGTGTCCCCCAAGGCAGTGTTCTAGGACCAACTCTTTTCATACTCTACATAAATGACCTCTGTGATCATATCAACAGCAACTGCATTCTCTTCGCTGATGACGTAAAGCTATTCAACACCACAGACAATACTGCTACTCTTCAAAAAGACCTTAACTATGTATCAAAATGGTCAAGCAAATGGCAACTTCAAATCTCAACAAATAAATGCTCTGTCCTACATATTGGCAAAAAATAATAATCAGAAAATAAAATGCAGGCTGAATAGTCAAGACCTTGTTGATGATCCAAACTCTGTCAAGGATCTTGGATCTTGACCTAAGTGCTTGAGCCCACTGTAACTACATAGCCAAAAAGGCATTAAGAGTTGTTAACCTAATCTTACATAGCTTTTTCTCTGGTAATATTACACTAATAACTAGAGCATACAAAACATTTGCTAGACCAATACTCGAATACAGCTCATCAGTCTGGAACCCACATTACGTATCTGACATTAACACAGTTGAGAAAGTCCAGAAATATTTCACAAGAAGAGTTCTCCACTCCTCTACTCATTGCAGAATACCTTATGCCACTAGACTCGAAATTCTAGACCTAGAAAACTTAGAACTACGCCGCCTTCAGTCCAATCTAAGTATAGTATATAAAATCATACATTGCAATGTCCTACCTGTCAATGAATACTTCAGCTTCTACCATAACAACACAAGAGCAAACAATAGATACAAACTCAAGGTTAATCGCACCAAACTTGATTGTGGGAAATAAAACTTCAGCAACAGAGTGGTCAATGTCTGGAATACTCTACCTGACTCTGTGGTTTCTTCCCCAATCCCCAAAAACCTCTTTCCTAAGAGGTCTGTAGGGGGTGTGCATAAGTGCACCAACGTGCCTACCACCCCTGTCCTATTTTTTCTTTTTTCTTTTCTTTTTCTTATATGTATCCATGTATTCATAACTATGTTTTTACTTATACCTATTATCTTGTAAACAATTGACAAAAATAAATAAATAAAAATAAATAAATAATATTAATTCTGGTATTTTGGTCTTTTTCATTAGTTTTTAGCTTCTTGGTTGTTTCTTTCGAATTGTATGAAGATGTTGTTTATTTCTATGTGCCTATTGATGGCTGATTTGTCTGAGTGCCAAGATTCAGAAATTATCTTGCATTTTTGGATTTAGCTTGGTCTAGGACGCTTACAATTTCCAAGTTGAAAGTATGATTGAGTCTATCCATGTGTTATGCAATTCAGGCATTTTCATCATGTCTTCTGATTGGTAATTGGTGTTCATGGAGCACTCTCCTGGTCTTCTGCCTGTATGTATATACTAGCTGTTACAATCAGTGGTGGGATTCAAAATGTTTTTACTACTGGTTCTGTGGGTGTGGTTTGGTAAGCGTGGTGTGGCTTGGTGGGAGTGGCTTGGTAAGTGTGGCTGGAGAAGGATATTGTAAAATTTCCATTCCCTGAGTAGAGCATTGTGAGTCAGTTAGTAACTCAGATGTAATAGTAAATGAAAATGCAATAAGTATCAGTTAGTAATGATTATTAGGGCTATCAAATTCGATAACAAATGGAATGTGTTATACACACTATTGTTTTTTTTTTTTTAAACTTGTATGTTTTTAATCTTTGTAAATAAAGTTTGTTTGAAAATTAAAAAAAATATCTCCATTCCCACCCCACTCCAGGGGAAGGATACTGCAAAATCCCATTCCCTCCCAACCCCACTAATCTGCTTTCCAGCTCTGTTCTCCTGTGCACAAAAGAAGAGTCAGCTGGGACTCGGGAGGCAGAGAATAGGTGGCAGTGGGGCCAGTCAGAGGTGGTATTTGCCGGTTCTCCAAACTACTCAAAATTTCCACTACCGGTTCTCCAGAACTGGTCAGAAACTGCTGAATACCACCTCTGGTTAAAATCCTTACAATGTAGTTGTACAAGATTCCTGATTTTTCTTCTGAAGCTACTGGGTCTTTTGGTTTACTTATTTTATAGGCTTCAGTTGATTGGGTGCTGGGTTGATGCCGTGTTGTAGTTCATTCTAAAGCTATTAATAAGACTAAAATACTAATACTGCTTTTATTTCAAGACTACAATAATAGAATCCTGCAAGTTTATTTTTATTTAAGTAAATGTAAACTGATAAAATATACTCAGAAATAATGACTTAGCCTGAACTGTCCCTAATTAATTAGAAAAAGATCTAAAAGTCACATTGGCAGTTTCAGAGTGGGACAAAAGCATTTCGTCATAGATAATCCACGTCTGATCTAAAGAATTCACTGAATTGAACTGAACTTCGATAGAGAACAGGTCTTAGCTCAATATTAACTCAAGATTGTAGTGATGCCTGCAGCAGGGGAATGAC